TCTGTACCTTTAAAGCTATGGCGTTTGACTGCTAAATGGAATATAAAACTGAAAGTTTTCTATTCCATTTCTTTAGTGCTACAACTGAGAGGCACATGTAAAGCAGTTTCCTTGAAAATCCTAAAGGCAAAGTCCGGGTAGGTTAAGCAAAAGTGAAGATGGGAGCTACTTTTTGCAGCCTTGTCCTTGTTAAGGCCTCTTAACACAAGAAACTGTTTGTCTATAATATTAACCCATTATTGCAAATGTCTTGCAGATACCACTACAAAAGCAACCCCTTTTGCAAGATGAATTATTGCCGTAATAGGTCGTGGCTGTGTGTGAATGGATCCAGTGACTTTGTTGAATTTCTTTGCTGTTATTTTCACCTTCTGGAGATCGCGACGTACTTGAACGTGATTTCAGTTTCCCATGTCGATGTAATAAGTGCCATTAATAATATATTTTTCATATACATTACTGTCTTTGCAATTAGTTGTAGTGCATTAAGTCTTGTTTAAAGATGTTGAGCATGGAAATTCTCGAGTGCATATATTACGGTGCCCATTATTACCCTGGATCTGTACCAACAATATGGACTGTAGTTACCTCAAATCGCAAGGATTTCAAGATGAGTGTAGTTATCCAGTTTACTAGGTAGTTGTGGATGCTCGTGCGATTTCGATATTTTGGAACTGGTAGGAATTTGCAGAATAGATCCCAGTGTTCCTTGAGTTTGCGCCAGCCACTCTTACTCTTCTCTGCGCTGCCCTCATAACTTGAGGCTCTAATATTGAAAAAAAGCATTTAAAAAATTCATTAACTATGTTTTGGACTTGTCCGTCCTGCTAACGGAATTCTACTGTCGCAAGTTCCACACCGCAGTGTTCCATAATCACACCTTGATGAATGGGCCTGGGACAACGGTTGGGTTTGCACTTGACCGGTTGTAAATGTCTCTTATATAATGTAAAGATAAGAATAAAAAGGCAAGCATGTGGTTCGTATTCGTATGTTGAAGCTCTTTTGCAATGCTTATGCATAAAATTTCCGCTTTGACATCAACAAGGACTTTGCATTGTGGATTAAATTGTCGGGCAGTTAATGCCCATAAAAAGCCAAATGTGGTATGAAATGAAGATTTTTAGATTAGTTTTGTTAAATAGGGCCTAAATAAAGATGTTAAAAGCAAATGAGTTTCTGCGAACTGACAAAAATCTCCAGTGTGAAGGAAAGATGTTATTGACACTCTCAAAGTGGCTAATCATTTGTTTGAACACTTTCATAAGGACTTTGCAGTGTTTGTAAAGCCTAAAAACAATAACTAGTGATAACTTAAGACCATCTTACCAAAGAATTGTTAGGAGCAATAAATTCAATGTCAAAATATCCAAATAAATTGATTAACTTTCAATATATTTGACAAATGACAAGGCTGACATCAGCGCACCCTTTTTGAGACACAGGGTTGCTGGAAATCTCACTTTATATAACGCCTTGTTTTGTGCAACAGTGTAAATAGTGACGGTCGAAGTGTGGCTGGCCACTAAGATAACTATATGGAAGTAGTGGCGATGTTGGAGACGCCACCCAGTAGTGGAAAGCTTTCCTTTGTAGGCGTGCATGGCTAACTTTCTACAAAATGCTCCGATTTGTTTCCATCTCTCCTCATTTTATCTCTAATCATTCAAAGACATAGACAGAGAAGTTATGCATTGATGAAGCTGACCGAATTTGTCAAACTGATAAACAAACAATGGCAACACTCAACAATCCACTAATCAGGTTAGTCTTCTGCAAGCTTAACAGGCTTAATAGCATAAGTAACATTATCAATTCACTCATATGTCACTTTACCTATCCGTTCTCCGCTCGTCAGTCTGTCAGGCACGAATCTCAGATAAGTTTAGCAAAATAGAGTAGCCTTCACTTGTATTGATTGGCCGGCTGATTTTAGCAATCTTTGAGATAAATGGCAGGACATTATTCATCCTTGTGTCTAGAGGTGCATTGACTTTGTCAATGCTACTTGCAAGGGCAGAAGTTGGCAAATGCATGATAGAGAGATTGAGAAGTCCTCTCTATCTCATGGCGCTAGTGCTGAGCCTTGAGACTTAAGCCAAATTTAGGTAGACCATAAAGATGTCTCTATACATTAAACCTCCCTGTTAGATTCTCTAGAATCCTAGAATTTTGTGACTAATTGGCCTGCTCTCCTTTTAACATCTTCCTAGTTGACATCACGTGTGGGTGCACTTCAATTGCTGTAAGGAGGTGAGAGGGGGATTAACTTTCGTCTTTGGCACGCCTGACTGTACTGTATGCTATTAGAGCTGCATATGCCGTATGCTCCCCTTTGCGTCCATGCCAAGAGGCATCGAAAAGTCAGTCAACATCAGGAATAGCTATGATCAATCTCACAGGTACCGGCTAATACCCATTTTTGTCCTGTCTCCGGCCCCTAGTTTCAACGCTCTTGTATAAGAATGGTCACAATTGACTACGTGGTTCCATAAATATTAAAGTTAAGCTAGTCAGGCCGTATGTTAATGAGCTTGGCGGAAATTCCAATGAATACATAAGATGAGCATAAAAGTAATTAAACTAAGGGGCTGGTATGCAATAGGTGCATCGACGATAGACGTCGCTGGAGCAGAAAAGTCCGCCGTCGACGATGTTTGTACGAAACACTGGACTAAGCCGTCCCCTTCTCTGGAGGTGACGGGTGCGATTCAGGTAAAATAGATTTGCCACAAGATTGCTTGAATAGTTTTATCATTAACAGTATGGAAACGGAAAATACTTTGAAGATCTCTTGTAAATAGGTTAGTGTTTTGTGCCTCGTAGGTCTAAGCCGGAGTTGCCGAAACAAAGTCAAACTGCTTCCAAAGGTAGTGATAATTTTTAAAAAATGTTGCTAGCCATGCGATCTTTATTTAGGATGAATTGAAACATTTGTGTAGGGCTCAAAATTAGAACATTTGCTTATAGTGGCATATCCGACCTGAGTTTCTCTAACGTTGTCAGGCTACACAGCGAAGTGTCTCGTACAGTTGAGATACCCACGGGTGCATCAAACTGTCTACATCTGGCGCAGGATTATTTGCCATTACGATGTGTCAGCTTAGTTGCTTGAATGTGCTAGGCCAGATGTTGAGTCGATTTGATACTCGATTCGCTCCATTAAATGTGGTAACCTTAGAGGGCCATTTTATACAGATTTGGACATGTGGATGTTCTTTGAATTCCACATACTTCGCATTTAGGATGAGGGAATACTTTAATTCCCGGACAAATTACGGAAGTTATTATAAAATTTAGCACCGAAACATTTCTGCTGGTAGCTATAGAGCTTACCAATGGAAGGAAGGAAATAATGATGACTTCATTTCATCATCAACAATCACTGACCACTTGCAAATCCGAGTCTATAGATCAAACAAAAAGAAAATATTTCGTTCAGTTCTGGTAAAGAGGTAAGAAAATGACGTTTTCAAATGCCTATCTAAGTGTCTTATAGGCTACACTTTCGTCACCCTTGGCAAGTTCCTTCCTACTGAATTCTGAGACGTCAAGTTAACACCTGATTTGTTTTTAAAACACTCCAGCAATTCGACTGTCCTTAAAAAACACTGCTAGATATTTGCAGCTCATATTGTTTAATGCTAGGAATAGAATTTATTCGGATCCAGGCATGTAAAAGGTATCTACGCTGAAACCATAAAGACGCGGTTGGCGTGGCCTCAAGAAAACCAGCGTTTATTTAATTTTAACTATAAATATTTTACATAAAATAAAAGCAATTGAATTTTACTATTACTACAAGTTACCCTTGAACCCTTTTTATTCACTGAGGAATTTTGCTCACAATCGTGTTTACTCTTCAAAATGGTAAAATATGCTGCTGTAATATCTCATCACACAGTGTGGTTGATTGTCGCGAAAATGCAACAATCATTTAAGATACGCAATCCATCCGTGCCCATGCTTCAAGTTTTTTTTGCGTTGAGATTGAGACGAGACTTTGAGATCAAGACTTGGTGCATAACTTGGGACGACTACTTACTAAGTGGTAGTAGACGTTAAATCTCAGCATTGGGCGAATTCAAACAGCACGGTTTTTTTGTCGCCTCGTGCAAGATTAAAATACAATATGAAGGAAGATGTGTTAAATTTTATGTGGCATACTCGCTTTAATGGAAGTGGAGAAGTGCGATAAGCATTTGACCAATGTGTCGAGTTGGATGGCGGTTTCCTACGTGCAGCACTTGATTGCAACCCTGTTTCGAATTGTTGGGAATTTTTATTCCTTGCACCTAGTTGCTGAACAGCGTAGAACTGAGCACTTTTATTAACTCTCACCTCACTCGTCGATACCATCACATAATGGTACTTTACACCACATCGTTAGCTGCCCATCGTCAGACAATCGCCAGCCTTCTTATCAAACAGCCAAGTACATGAACAATTGCCCGATTGCCTAATTAGCTTCCCTCCACTCAATGCCTCTGATTAAGCCAATTGTTAACAATTTAGTGTAAGGCTAGAACGATCTAACTCAAAAATATTCTCGTCAAAATAACGGAACAATTCGTGCTCCCATAAAATGTCTCACGAGTACTCTGGCGAAGAGCAAGGAATCCTCGCTCAAGCAGTGAAGCACTCCTTAGCCTTCATTTCCTTTGATGGTGTTAAGTGACTAAGTAGAGGCTTTTTGACCAGGGAAGGAAGATCAGGGAAGCCCGTATTCAGAACACGCCTCTTCCACCTCAACGATGGATGGCAACTGCTCCATCACGAGACCTACTGCTCACGGAACCTTTGCCAACGTAAGAGGTTCGTTCAAGAAAACACGTATTATATCGTCTCTCGTCCTTTCGAGCACCGTCTCCGATGACCTTCTTATGGGTTGTATTATATAATTAAGTGGTGGTCAAACAGAAGGAAACGCCTTCGAGTAAACCCGTTATCAGCAGATCGGAATTTACCATTGATTCTGTATTCTGCGGAATATTGTCTTCATGTATGCAATGATGAAATTCACTGCATCATGTTTCTCACTTCCTTATATCATAGTGCGCTTATTTTGGTACGTTAAACATATAACGACCCAACCTCGATGAACGCTTGAGTCGCCGCTTAAAGAGAATGTAAAAACAGAGATGTATATGGAAAGAACTCACTGGGCATAGATCAGATTTTGAAACGGGTGGTGAGTAATTGAATGCAAGGCAGCCGCTTAGCCCCCGGGGTAACAAAATTCAGCTGTGTCGGGGATGAGGACAAAACGCGGTGTACCTCGTCTACTAGCCACGATGACTGCCTGCGACGAAGTCGAAGACAACAGAAGTAGGCCAATAATCCAATGCCCATTATTATCGAAAGGTTGCTGTAGAGAGACCCATTATCGTACCTCATGGTTGAGAGTAGCTGTAAATGCCTACAAAATAGAGTTGTACTTCCATCCTCTTAACCGAAGTTAGGCATCAAATGAATGTGTTACCAAGGGAAAATCAGCCATTAGCCCTCTGCACACTCTGCAGAGATTTACGTGCTCGCATATCTCGGCGCATAATTGAGGGGTAGCTCAAATAAGCGCAATAGCTTTTGCTTTTTCGTAAACTGGTTCCTGAAATCGGCTAACTTTGAATATCAACTGTGCTTAGAGCTTAGGAATTTCGCATTTCTAATCAGGAACTAAATTATTCATATTAATGTACCGCCAATCACACAGTCACACCTACTGTTGGAATGCATCTTTGCAGACCGACTGGTAGCATAGACTTGCATAAGCCTTGTGCCATGGCTAACGTTCGAGATATCCGAATGAAGACGGAAGGCAGAGGTGCTCAGCAGCAGCGATCCCGACGATTTACTAACCACTACTTAACTACACACATCTCCATGTAAACTTGCATGGTACTGCTGTCTCACCACTATTTCCAGCTTTTCTCTTTCCTTTCCAATGCGCTGTCAAGACACAACATTTGCCCCCCATCGCAAGGTAGCATATGTCTGAAACGAAGATGTAATGATCTGATCATAACAAAGCATACAATAGTAAAGGAAACCTAGCTATTTTCCTACCATTTGGATTTTCTGCTTACAAACGGTAAAATTATGAACTTAAAGTAAAATTTAATGTTTTAACAGGAAGTAATTCTCGTTTCTCCCATCTGCCTCCAGTTTCAAATCCCTAAAGGGAAAATTCACTTGGTGCTAGCCTAACTTGCTGCTGCAAATGAGCCAATGCAGGCGGTAAACTGGGCTTTGTACCCATCTTGCAGATTGACGTTTTGTCACGGTCACTAGGGTTATCCAATCAGACCGTTTCCAATGTAGCAAATTGGACATTGGACATCGACATTCCTTATGATGCACTTGAAAGCACTCCAAAATCAACCTCAAATATTCCTCATACATAACTCTTATAGTAATGCAAGCTATGGTGCTTTTGGCCGCACTGCTCAAAAATGCCAACTGTCTTACATACGATTAGTTGATATTGTGCGCAAAACTGCGGTGGATTTTTGTTGTGTGCTAAGCTTATTTGATTAAAATAGCCCAATTAAGAGTTTTTAGTTACAGAAACTGTGATATAAATAAAGTGGATGCATTATTTCTGCTTACACGTTCCTCCTCATATTTCTATTGCATTGAAGTTTGCAATGCGGGATGTGTTTTAGAGAAAAGTACCGGTTCCTTGCAACCACTACTAATTTTAAGCTATAATACCTCGGGTAAATTTGAAGTTTGATAAATTATCCCCTTGGACTTCGAAGCCTGCAATCCTATCAGATCGCAGTGGGTGAAGAGCTGCTCCCAAAAAGGGATGTACACTTTATTCCCTTAAGTTGCCTTTCATGGAGGCAAGACAAACAGCTTAGAAACTGAGAAGTTCAAAGTGGTTGGATTACCTTAAAGTAACTTCATTTTCCCTTTTTCTCAGGGTAGCGATGAATGTTTGTTTATGCAACCAATTTTTTGGAGCCAATCCGCACTTCGTGGCAAAAAGGCCTTCAATTATTCCTTTTTGAGTTCTTGGATGAGATGTTAACTCACAGCCCAAGGAAAGGATTAGGCAGCGATTAAAGAAACCCTAAAAATCATGCTGGTCGTTGGTTAATAAATCCTGAGCAGTGTAGAATACTCCACATTTGTTACCGGGGAGAGTAGCTAATGTATAGGCAGTACGTTGACCGAAACCGGGCGAATGGTCATAACTGATTATAATTAGGTGGCAAGGTTTGGCATTTGGAAACAGCAGTCGACATTTGTAGAGCTGAAAAGAGCAACCTTGATTTGAGGACATAGTTTTTACTTTTTAAAATCACACTTTGATTGTTTTTCTACGGACAACCCATTCATTCGCCGAAGCGTACTTCTATGATACGGTGCGATTCAGTGCCAGAAGACTAGGCTTATTTTGTGCTTTTGTAGAGTGCGATGTTTAATGGATGGAAGCCCATATTTTCACTTCAGAAGGAGTAAGGACTAGACACTCAGTGGAAGGAACTCACGCCTCATACTACAAAGCGTATTTGGCAGTCTATTAGTAAAAAGACAAGCTGCAGGTAGGATGGAATAAAAGACTGTCTTATGCTTAGACTCGTCATGCGACAGAATGGTATGTTATAGTTTTGTTTTTTTAACTAATGCGAGGCACAGATTACGGAAGAGATTAATAAAACCAAGGGACAAGTCTTTATTCCACACTCCAATTTTTAGCCATTTCTAGTGAGAAGAGCACAAATTAGACATATGGTAAGGTAAAATGCGGAGTAAGAGCTACTTCTTCTAAAGAAGCCTTTAAACCGCCACATTTAGCCTCTGATTCTTCTTTACATGTTAAACGTTACGGAAGAGCACTTTGGCGAGTGTCTGTTCTTCGTGGTTGTTGGCGAGTTGACCTAAGCTGATGCAGCATTCCTTCAAATTAGTATCGGTTGTTATACTACATTTACAAGGTCGGAAACGAGTTCTACGAACCCGAAAGTTGGATGAATAGTACCCTCTGACGGTGAAGTTAAAAATAAGGCATAAATCTCGCGATTTAATATCACATTTCCTTCGTCAAATGGAAAATATTTTCCCTCAATTTGTCGGTGTACAAATTGATGGTTTCTTCGCCCTACCTTTGTATTCATTTGCTTGGTACAAGCAGGCCAGTTATATGAGGACATTTCTAATCTATTTCGACGTCTCCTCTAAAGTAAGCGAGTTTAAAGCTACAAGTGGAATGATGTATTTACAAATATGGAGACAAAATTGCTCACACTGATAGCAATTGCAAGATTTGTTTTCAGAAATTGGTTACCTTGAAAGTTGTGCATCCAGAAGAATTGCGTTTTCGATGAAGTATTAATAAGACACAGGCCTAGGATAGCCTCCATTAAAGCAGGCATTAATACTGGTCAATGCAAATAGCTAGAGTTTTTACATCAGTGATGCCACGCTTCCTTACGATGGCTTCTCCCTTGTGGACACACAAAGAACATCCATAGCCCTGTTGGATCCGGATTTCCTCCTTCGCCGCAACAAGCTGAAGGACCTTTGGGCTACTAGAGATCATTTGCTGGCAGCGGCAGAATGCTCAAAAATGCTGGAAGTCAATGTGACTAGTTGGTAGACTGACTTCAATTGTGGTCATCACGGCAGCAATATCGGAGCATTGCCACTCAACACATTGTAAACAAAAAAGTGACACTGAGACCCACCCTTTACTCATGACTCAGCAATACCACCATCGAAGGTGTGTGTGGACGCCGAGTGCTGGCGCAAATGATTCACCGCCTTTAAAAACTGTGTAGTTTCGATAACCAACCTCTTCACAGATTAGCGCCAGCTCACACAGCCATCAAACTGATCATAAGACCAGCAAAAATTCCGGAAATTTTCCATTTGTTACTAATAGACTCTGCCTTTATCCGTCTTCGGTAAGATTGCATCAAATAAATAAACGCAACTCATGTGAGCTGGTTCGATGCTGCTGGTACAGGGGTCCCAAAAAGTGTTAGACAAATGGTATCTAGTTATGTGATGGCTTTTGCTAAATGTTAAGCATAATTTTGTTTTAATGAGCGTGAATGATGTAGCTAATAAGGACTGTTGAATAGGGAATTAAGTTGATACAGGAAAGCGTGCACAATACGACATAAAAATCAGGCACAAAGATGGAAAGCCGTCCGTGTTAAAAAATGCTACTAAATTTTGCCGAATATTTGTTCATGAGAATGTTTTAAGGCATAGGAGGAAGATATGCCAAAATATAAGTGCTAGTGAAGTAAAGCTTTGACATTGTGTGATTTTGCAATGCGGCCAACGTCGTCCGGTGTTTAATGGCAATACTGATTAGGAATACAAAGTTGTTGCTTAATGACAACTTTGCTTGATGCGTCAACATTCCAGCTGTCAATCACATCTTACCTTACCTACCTTCTTACGGCTATCTCTGTTAAGCCACAATCAATTAAGAGAGCTGGCTTTCGGGAGGTAAACGTCAGTCCTACTCTGCGGCATTCTGCGAGGCTCTCTCCCATCTCTAACTCCACCAGTTTTCAGTTCTGACTTTTGAGTGATAAATGGCGACGTCATCTCTGATCTTCGACCCAGTGTCCATTTTGAGCTCAATCCCTCACCCTAAACCAAATAATATTGTTTTATGGAGACTAGTTGATGGTTTCTCCTCAGCAATAACTGATGGACTTGTCTGTCAGTGATTGCGCCATCGATACTAGAACACTTATTAAAATGAATTATTTTATTGCCCTAATAAACCCGACAAAAATGTCTGTGCAGATCTGTTGCAAATATGAATAAACTATCTTTAAATTGACTACATTGGTGCCATTTTTGTACGCTTCTTGCTTATTCGTATTGCTGATTCTCTGTCGCTTTTAAAAGTATTTTATTTCAACTCACTTAAGAAGTTATACATTTTAAAGTTTTATACCCGCTCTGTTATCTGTGACTAAACATACTATTTATTAATTCCAAATTCACCTGATATGCTGTGGGGTTGAGTCGATAAGCTTGATCACAATTTCATCTGATGTGGCCTTCAAGTCTTTCATCTCTCTCATTTGATGCAACGGTCTCTCACCAATTAACTTTGGCATTTGGTATTTCTTATGGCATAATCCATCGAGGACAAAAATCCAAGTAGAAGATAATTATTTTGGAACGCCGTTCTTTAGCTTTGATAGCACACTGCTTCTGGTGACTCTTCTGACAGTCTCCATTCTGGCTAATGGTAAGTTACATATTTACTTTTGTTAACACAATTTGCACAGGCTTCACCTCCGACTCCACAACCCCTTGGCCCTTAAGGAACGCATCAATTTACCAGCCTATAAATGCCTCATCAATGCATATACGAATTGTTTACGGTGCCGACAATTCATCACGTCTGATGGTTCCATCAGCTTTCCAACATCTCGAGAAATCCACGCATCTAGGCTCTTTCTGATTCCGAAGAAAATGTATTTCTATCCCTTTCCACCACATTAATTATGATCAAGCATAAAATACGAACAATGAGTGACAAAACGGGATAAGGAGTTAGTGGTCAGGAAATGAGAATGGCGAAGTCAAAGCAGAGTAGAACCTCAGTTAATTTTAACATGATCCGTGCCTATGCCCTGCTAGACATCCATCCTGAAGTTATGTATTAACTTCATAAAACCAACTGTTCCCATGTCTACTTGTCTTGACGCCGATTAGTCTATGCAGCTGTTTCCTCCTCCCTCAACAGAAAAATCTCATCTCCCATTGTGCCACGCCTGGGCGATTGCCATGAAAATTATCCGAAGCGGTATGACGCGAGAAAGATACTTGTTTCTAATGACGCTGCAATGTGCGCCAAGACGCCGTGGCACACCAACCCTACTCATATTTAGCACCCACGTCTTAAATTCGTCTGGCCGTCAAGGAAACACTCTGACAGTGCAATGACGTTTCTTGTAAGTTTGCACAATCTTTAAATTGTTTTCTAATTGCTCTACTGCTAATCTTTATTTGTATGTCCTCCCCCTTTCCTCCAAATTGTGCCAGTAGTTAATTGAAGAGTTAAACACGCATCATAACGGCTAAACCCCTGATTTTTCCTTGAAATTACATTTGTGTACGTCGGCATCACGTTAATTGCATGTATCGCCAATCCTTCCAGTGTGCATCCTCCTCTTTTTCTCATACTCTATTTGCAGTGAATTGAGGAAAAAGTGCTTTTGAATGCAACTTTGACCGCATTCATATAGTGTTTTTACAAAATTATCTTGAATGCTCTACTTCCTTAGCAAAAAATAGACGGAGCGTTTAAGTTTTACTAACCTTCCATAAGTAAGTTCGGTCAAATTTGGTGCTACCCTTGTTTACAATTGATAGCAGTGACACTTTCTTTTGCTTGGCTATTGTTAGTTACACAACGGTTTGATAAGGTACCGAATGTACAATCACAATGGCAAGGCAAAGATTTTCTATTCTGCTGCAGAATGGCAGCAAATCTATTGAGTATTTTTGCGAAATAGTAAAAATGAGGTAAAATTTGAAAGGTGAGCGAAATGGTGCACCAAACTATTAATCACTGGGAGTGCTGATTTTTCGACACCTGTAATAACAGAGAAGGAATTTGAGTGCATCTTGCACACCAGAGGAATTCATTGCTTGCAAATTACGTGGAGATAACTAACAGCTGAATATTCCATTCTCTGTTTCGCCGTTACTTCATCCGGTGAAATTTGTGGGAATTAGTTACTCTCTCAGTAGTGATAGTGGGTCAGAATTCAGTAAATCAGCCTTTGTATGCATTGCACATGATGTGTCATGGGACCGAGCCCACTGGTGTGAATATGGTGTCACCCAGCGTGGCCTTTAAAGCTCCCATCTCTCTCTTCCCATGTCACCGCACCTTGCCAAGTGGCTTCAACTTCATGACAAAAGGAGTACGAAGGCTGAGATCAAAGCAGCAAAGCAGAACTCCACTTTTTTAACAATCAATTCATTCAGTCTATCGTCATAGTACTTCTGCTAGGACTTCTCACAGCCTAACTTCTGGCTTATTCTAAGCTAAAATTCTCCCTTTGCAAACACAACTGAAAGTCCACACTTTGTGGTAAAGCGCATAGAAGCGCATATGATACAAAGGAATTCTTGCCAAATATTTGTCCATTTCTTTATGTACTTCAGATTTGTAGGTGCACTTTGTAAAGTCCACTCTTTGGCATGCTAAATCATTGTCACTTAGCAGTAGAGGCGACAACCGACGTAATGTTTGTTAAGTTTTTAAAGTCGATCTCTGATCTAGTATAGCACCATCATACTTGTGACAAATGAAGCCTGAGACACACACCAATAGAATTGGAACAATCAATGTAGGACGTACGCAAATGAGCAACGGACGTATGGTGGGGCATGGGCACGGATCGTGATGGACGCTGTTGCGATTCTACTCTGCATGGCATATCGCGCAGTTATGCTTTTACTTCGTCTCTCTCACTTCTTGGTCATTTACATTTTGTCAAGTTTCATCACTCATCCTTCCCTTTGTATGCCAGAGCATTATTAATGAAATAAGGGAAAAAACAAAAGCACTTTTTCTTTGCAGGCGACCAAAGTCTAGAAGTGTGAAGTTTTCGAGTTGTTGGCAAGTCGACGAGGCCGGCACACATAATGAATTTATTGGTACCCTGCATAATTGGTATGTGCATTGATGTGGTAAAATATGCGTGCTTCTTTAAAACGAGATTACAGGAGACTAATTTTAAAGAAATGATTTAAATTGGAACACACATTTTATCATTACCAAGTATAATGTTTAATCACGAATATAGCTGGTACATTAATTTTCCACCTGTGCAACCATTGCCTTCAGGTGGCAGCTGTTTCTAAAGCAGGATCAGTAGACAAAATGTCCAGTAAAGGTGGCAAATGTCATAATTTGGATAGACTTTAACGTCTGCTTAGAGGAAGGTATGTCAAATTTCTTTGATTTAAGTACATTTTCATGATTACCCTAACGGAACACATTTATTTACTCAATAAGTCATTTCAATATGTATAAATGGTGAAACCACTACATTAAAGCAGTTTTGTATCACACCTTATAGAAGAGACTTCTGGCAGGTTGCACAGCTGCCACAGCCGAATTTGAATTGTGAATTTCCCATTTTCATCATTCTCAGCGAAAAACTAATGCGCCCTCCTAAGCCTGGAGAGTGGAATGCATCGAGCAACTACCAAATTGGGCACTGCCAAAAAAAGTTGGATTTCCTTTTGTCATGTTTTGACAGAGCTTTCTTGACCACAGTGTTAAAAAATTTGCGATTGAGCTTTGTGTAAAGAGTCATATGTTGATTGGTCGCTATGGCTGCTTCTAGCGACAGCACCATTGTAAAGTGTATTAAGATGAAAAACTTATTTCCAAAAAATTATCTTATTTTTGCATTTTTAAAGTTAATACCGATTTGTCATTTCATGAGAACGTTTGAGTCCAAAGTATGTTAACAGGAGGCGCTAATTTGGATGGCAAATTCATGCTTAATATGGGCAATTTCAGGTGTGTGCATGAACCACATCCCTTTAGTGGCTAAAAATTAAGTAAATTTCTTTCTATCCAAACCAAATCCATTCGTAAACTTGAACAAGCAGAGGTTTGCATTTGGCTCAAAGTTGTGTTTCCCACTCAAAAGGTCTGCTAGTGGTTGGACGAGGAGTTGCTGCAGATGAAGCTATGGCAGCAGCTGCGTCAAGCATGTGTCACCATGGAGCAGAGAAAGCCTTATTATCAACGAAACTACATCGCTGTTCGAAAGATGGTAGTTTGTTTTGATAAGGAAAGGAACGAGTGCCCCTGACTTTCCTCTCACCTCTTAATGCGTCGCCACCCTTCGTGTGTTATGCGCTTTCGCAAGGTAGCTTTCTCTCCGACTGCACCACGCGAATAAGCGGCGAAAGTGGCGGTGATTGAAGTGGCGATGGTGATGTGTGCTTCAGGGGCAGAGGGTGCGCTTACTGCGCAAGTTTTGCTGCAGTAGTGGTGGGAGTTGTCGGGTGGCGGCGAGAACAATTGGACAACATTTGGAGTAAAATGCACTCACGGCAAAGCTATCCGGCTTAGCCCCGAAAGTGGACTGTGGCAGAGATGGTGGAAAACGGACTACCGACACCAATGGAAATTGCTTGATGAGGTATAGAGACCCTGAAATTGAATCACAATATAGTCGAGATTTCCTCATACCAAATCTAATGCTGCTACATAGCACACCATATTTTAAAATTATCTTTTAATGCATATATTTAAGCTTTCAAGGCTGTTGGCCACCGAATAAGGGATTGAGAATTGGGTCAAGACCATTCTGCTTGTAACACTAATCGGTGGCACTGATGGCTTGTGTATTAGTGTAAAACAGTTGAAACAGTCAAAGCGCTATGGCAGTAGTGTTTAATTCGAAACCGCAGCAAGGAGTAGTCTGTCAAAACCGACCAATTTTATGGGTGCATTTATTAAACTAATCACTGCAAAATTTAATTCTCTGATGCAAAATTGTGTTGAAGTTGTGGGCAAGCATAGAAAAGTGAAGAAACAGAGAAGGCAGGTCTTTGGGTTGGGAGGCAGCTGTACAAGGCCCAACATCAAAAGCCATGATTTTGTGCCATCACTTTTGGGTAGCTACAGAGGTATTTGCTACTACGAGGCCTCAGTAGACACTGCTTCTCACTCTCAACCTTGCTGATGTGTTGACCTAGCTGAACTACCAAATGATGAGTGACGAATGTGTCGATCAGTAGCACAACGTCATTTGCTCTCTCATGAGGTTTTTAAAAAGCATCGTGCTTTGTTCTTATTTAAAATACCTAGCCATTATAGTCGTAACACTACTTCATCGCTAGTCAAGAGTACATGGCATAACCTAAGCAGTCTCACTTGTATCGTAGTTCATGCCTTTGCACGCATTTTTATGCCCACAGCACCTAAATTGGCATAAAGTTGAGTCAATTAGCGTAATCACGGTACCATCTTATGTGACTCCCAAGTTTTCCATCTTTCCTTTCTAATGAAACCTCTCGCTAATTAAATTCAGCCTTTTGATAAAAGAGCCGTAACTGATTAAAACAATGCAGCAAAGTAAAATTCACACTTCTTTGATGTGTAGTTCTTCCAGTTTAGCGGCCCATGTCTCTGGTGACGCTTCCACCAGTTTCCGTCTTCGCTAATGGTGAGTTACAAATCTCCTTGTGTTAGCATGAATTTCACAGCCTCTATCAAAGACTCCACAAATAGCAACACTTTGAAAGACGTACCAAAACACCTAACCATGAATAATAGGAAATTTCATGTGGAATCCGTTAAAAATCCAGTATACTCCTGCAACTTTCCATTTTACGAGGGCCCGCATAATGGGGAGGCATCTTACTCCCTCACCATTTTCATCAGTGCAACTTAGTTGGCAATAAATTCACCCACTGCAGTGAATATTCTGTACTTGATAATACACGGCATTAATCTCACCTCCTTTGTTTTCCCTCCACTAACAAAATTTTGAATTACTTCTTTAAATTATAATCCATTAGTCATTTTTCCGCATAGCCTCTGCACTATGTTCTAGCTTTTAACAGCAACGGTATTACATATTCTAGATATTCCAAGACTTGAGTGTTCCGGCCATAAATTTTTCTTAGTTTAGATTGTGACAATGGTGAAAATTGAGGGAAAAAGTTGGATCCTTTTTTTTCACAGCGCATTGGTAACCAACGATTTCTCTGTGGGTCGATCCTCATTGTTTGATATTAAGTGGATAGACTGACTTCAATTATGGTCATCACGGCAGCAATATCGGAGCATTGCTACTCAACACATTGTAAGCAAAAACGTGACATTGAGACCCACCCTTTGCTCATGACTCAGCAATACCACCATCGAAGGTGTGTGTGGATGCTAGTGCAAATGATTCGCTACTCTTGAAAACGTGCAGTTTTGATTACTTACCTCTTCACAGATTGGCGCCAGCTCACGCAGCCAAACAATGTGTCATAAGGCGAGCACAAATTCTGGAATTTTTCCATTTATTTTCAACAAACTCTGCCTTCGTCCGTCTACGGTGAAATTGCATTTGAGAAATAAATGCAAATCATGTGAGCTGGATTGAGGCTGCTGCAGAGTGACCCCAAACAATGTTACTCAAAAGATAACTAGTCGTACGATTACTTTTGTAGAATGTTTAACTTAGTTTTATGTTTATTATTGTAAACGATAAAACTGAAGACCACTGTTGAATAAAAGACTACAATGAACAAACTTAGTGGGCATAATACGACATGAGTATCAGACACTTAAAGAGTAATTCATATCTATTAGAAAATAATATTCATTTTTCATAAAGTGTTTTACAATGAGAATATTTTTAAGCATAGTAAGTAGATGTTCAAAGCACAACCACTGGCTAAATTTTATCGCGGTCCATTATGTTGTCATACAGTGGTGGCGTTTCAAGCACATGAAAAAGTCAAAATCACAATAAACATTGCATATTCCACCAAATGGGCTTATTTCCAGAAAACCGCGTCAATCAAGTGCTGGTGATCGGTGAAAATTGCAATGGGGGTAACGTCCTCCGGTAGTTAATCAAAATATTACTATGACTTTAAAACTAACGTTAAATGAAAACTTTACTTAACACGTCATTATGCCATCTGTCAGTCAAATCCTATTTTATCTGACTTATTTTATATATTTTTCCAAGTCAGTAATCGATTCAAAGGCTTTGCCTGACCAGCTCCTTTGTGCACAATACTCTAAGTAAGGTCACCCACCATTCTCGTTTGACGCAACCTCCTCTCACCAATTAGCTTCAGCCTTATGACACAAGATCAATGAAGTGAAGCAGAACCCCACCTCTTTCACATGCAGCCGTGTCGGTTCAGTGGCATACTGCTCCTGGTGACGCTTCTACCAGTATCCATTCTAGCTTACAGAGAGTTGCAAATTGTCAATTCAGTCCGTAATTGACAGCACCTGAATACTTAAGTCCAAATGCTCAACAAATGCATACCAAATTTGTTGAAAGCCTTGATCGCTCTTTCCCCTTCTTATTTTACGAGATTTTGCTTAATGGAGAGTCAGCTTCTACCCTCGGCATTTGCATCAGTGCAGCCCATTTAGTCGTAACTCCTTCCATTAAAGTAATTTTTCAGCAATTTGTAACTGACTGCATTAATTTTATTTGATTTGTTTTTCCCTTAGCTGACGAAACACCTAAGCTTTTCGCTTGACCTAAATTTAACAGTATTATTCTCACACTTCACCTAGGTGAAACCCATGGTAATGGAAGGAATGAAGTTTTGAGCTCTGGAGGTTTTGAGACCCTATTTGCTAGTGCATCCAACACTAATCCTCTGCGCATTGATTTGCATAGTTCTTTTCCTGGACACTACGAGGCAACCCACATAAACCAAAATGATGCATAGGAAAAAAACCAAGATCAAACCCAATATTAGAAATTATACACTGACACTGCAACAAACACTTATTCAATCGCAAACCAGTAATCAAAGGCCATCACCAAAGAAATATAACAGTAATCCTAATATAAGAATCTAACGACATCACATAATGAAAATGAGCCACCACAAACCAAGTATCATGCAAAACATTATCCAATACACATGCAGACAAAACTATACCAGTCATACCACCAAAAGTAAACCGGATCACTCTTATTCACACTCAAATTCAACAGCATGTACAACCAAGTTAAAACCTTTATACCCGTAGGAACACCTATAATCATAGGTAACAGAATTAAAAAAACACCCGTCTTAACATCTAACCCAACAGTAAACATATGATGCCCTCAAACATACTATAGAAAACATAGCAAATAACAACCCATAAAACCCAAATGCATCCAAATTAGCACTAATTCTCAAACATATATGACTAATTATGCCAAACCCTGGCAAAATTAACACATAAACCTCAGGATGGCCAAAAAACCAAAACATATGTTGAAACAAAATAGGATCACCACCACCCAACGGATCAAAAAATGCAGAACAAAAGTTACGATCAAACAAAAGCATAGTAATAGCCGCAACCAAAACAGGCAACGCCAACAACAACAAAATAGAAGTAAATAGATACGACCAAAGAATTATAGAAGTACGAGAAAATACTTTAGTCATAAAAATTCTATACAAAGTACAAATAAAATTAATAGAACTGAAAACTCTAGAAACACCAGCCAAATGTAAAGAAAACATCAAAAAATCAACACCATAACTACTAGAAAAATATAAAGAAGACAACGGCGGATAAAAAGTCCAACCTACACCAGCACCTAAACGCATACTAACTAATAACACAACCAATGAAGGAAATAAAACCCACGCACTCAAAGCATTCAACCGAGGCAAATTCAAATCAGACAACCCACCTAACAAAGGTAATAAATAATTCCTAAACCCACCAATTAATATCGGCATTAAGAAAAAAAATCATTATTATGCCATGATTTGTCACCAAAAAATTGTAACAATCCAAAGGTATAACATTATAATAAGGCTCCAAAAAATTAACAGGAATCAACAAACTAAATCTCAAAATAACAAAACCATACCATATACCCAACAAACTATAAACCAAACCCATACGCTTATGATCCAAAGTTAATACTCACCTAGCTAATCACACCACTCTCACAACCATAAGATGACCAAAAACCAGCCCCTAAATGTTTTGAAAACATACAGTCCAAACTAGCTTAATCTTATACAAACCAAAGAGAAAGTCAAACCTAACTGACACGAAATTATTGGCAGTAACTCCACAATTTTCCCTGCCACACTACCATTAATAAACTCAACGCACACAACCACTAAACAACTCAACAACAAACCCAAAAAACATCACCAACAAAAAAAAGTAATAATACCAAAATTTACCAAACAAAACCCCTTGAGAAGGCATATTCAACAACAAAGAAATTTCCAAATCAAAAATAACAAACATAACCAACGACGAAAAATAAGTAAACCTAAAACAATCCAAACTTACCATAGCAGAAAAAAAACCAAATTAATAAGAACTACCCCACTGAAAAACCCAAAACACCAAACTTCTTCAACGACCCAGAATTAAAAACATAAATAACAAAACCCAACAAAAAACAAAACAGTCATCAAACCCACAGTGATAACCACATTACTGAGGTAAGAACCCAGCTCTTAATAATACATTTCACTGAAAAATGCTCTTTATTTTGAGGAGAGATTTAATGAGGTGTACACATTGGATTGTTCAGCGGAGGGCATGTATGAAGGACTGGAGTTCATTTTCAAGCCTTGATTTGGTTTCACTGATTATTCGCTTTTTAAACAAATTAGCGCTTAAGGGTAAAAACTTTATATAGACATATGCGCTATCGAAAACTGGTGCCGACAATTCCAGTTTGACTTCCGGGCGCACGGCTTTTCTTACCTGCATGGAATTATCCAACTTTAGTTTCCCTAAATCTATTTTACTGACGAACTGTAGTGTTAACATAAAAAGGCCAGGTAAGCCGGTAAATCGACTTTAGAATGACTATAATACCAAATTACATTGCCCTCAAAAACTAGTAGGCATTGCGGAAGAATTGTACAAGTGTTTGAAGCTTTTGTACTCAAAAAAATGTCTAGAATATTTGGCTGTGAATGGTGGCGCGATTCTGTACGCTATACTTTGTAGGAGAAGGGAGGAGACGAATGAATGAGATTAATGCAGCAAAGCGTAAAGTGCAGAAAACTTGCCAAAGAGGGCGGAGATAATATTATCCGGGTTGCATTGATACAAATACGGAGGGCATAAATCAACTCTCCATTGAGCAGGGCCTCATGAAATGAAAAAAGGGAACGAGCGAACAAGGCTTCAGACAGATTTTACACGGAATTTTTCAGCAATTGTTGCTAGGTATTCTGGCCCATCCTCCAGGGCGTTATTAATTATATACTTAATGGTGGAGCCTGTGCCAGTTGTGTCAACAAGCGAAAACTTGTAAATCACCATAAGCGAGAATAGAGACTAGCAGAAGCGTTGCCAGTAGTACGATGCTATTGAACTGAAAGTACTGCATGTCAAAGAGGAGGAGTTCTGCATTGCTTTAATGGTCCCAGCTTTTACATGCCCTTTGTATCATGAGGTTGAACCAGTTGCTGATAAATGGTTTACCCGAAGAGAATGGTGGGAGACTTAGAGGCCACATCAGGTGGCACCACAATCACGTTTGTTGGTGTGGTAGAGGTTGAGGCCATCAGTGGTTGTTGCACTTTTGACCTCTCCAGAAGAATTGCTTAGACATGGCTCGAGTTTGATCAATTGAAATTAAACTGGTTTTATATTTGTCACGAAAAAGGATAAACAATTTTACCGGATTTATTCGGGCAATAAAAGAATTCAATTTATTAAGGGATAGCGCATACATGGGATAATCTCCGGTAGCCAAATCCATCAATTATTACGGAGAAGAGTCTATCAATCTGACTCCATAAAACAAAAATTTTGGATTTATGGCATGGTTTACGGATTAAGCTAGCTTGTTAAGTCTTTGTAATGGATTAAGGTCTGGCTCCTTTCGCGGTACACTAAGAAATCGCGACCGTCCTGACACTCGAGGTTCCCTTCCTCGACATGATGCTTCTCTTATGTCACGCAACCCATCAAACTACGAGAAGAGATTTCCTTAGTCCCTGATATGTTCATACAGCA